GAATTCCCTCCTCGACGCTGTCTCCCAAACGCGCCAAGACGGTCCTGTACTTTTAACCCCCGAGACCAACTTCCATCTCCAGCAGCTCCTCTCTACGCTCGCCCCATCGCACGCGCCTCTCCCGCTCTCTTGGCCGCCGCCACCGCCACCTCCGCCGCGCCTTGCGCCGCCTCAGGAAACGCGCGCGTCGAACACACCTCCAGTTCTGCCCTGGCCGCCGCCGCTCCAGGCCGCCGGGCCTCCGCCCCCTCACGGAACGCGCGCTCCCCCGCCTCGCATCGGCAGAACCCTCGAGCACAATGCTCGAATCGGGCCGAGGAGCCCGCTCGAGGCGCTCTTCCGCTATGCACCCGGTGTCGACGTCGAATACCCTGAGAGCGGCGTCTACCAGCCGGTCGGACATCTGATTCCGGTCGACCCCGCGGCGGAGGAGTGGCCTTGGGTCGATTTCGCGTATTCGCGCGGCAGTCCAGAGGGCGGCACCGCCGAGCACGACTTCTTCTACACGCCGCTCCTCGTTGACGCGCAAGGAGTGCCAGTACCTTGCAAGAAGCGCCACACAACATGTCCGTTCTCCCTCCCGCTGTCACTTCCTCCATGCTTACTCCTTTCTTTCCCCAGGTCAAGGCGTCAAGGCCTGTCCGCAGGGCGACACCGACGCGCTGAGTGGCCGCGAGCACTGGCACACCTCGGCAACGCGCGAAGACATCCAGCGGCGCTTGGCCGCTGACCGCCTCGCGCGTCAACGTTTCTCGTCCCCGAAGCGCGACATCTTCGTCAAAACCCAAGCGTTCATCAGCGCCGTACGACGCACAGGCTGTCGGCGTGCCCCCCAGCAAGACACACACCGAACAGGCCCCGAGCTCGAGCAGTACCAGCGGGAGCAAGAGCTCAACGAGCACTTTCGCCGAGGGTACTCCGCGCCCGCCACTTGTCAGGGCCGCATCCTCTTCCACGAGTACCCTGACCCCGCTCACCCTGGCGCTGCTCCCCGTCAATACCTCAGGTACGCATCTCCAGTTACGCTTCGAATCCCCTCTAATTCCCTCTCAGCTGCGAGCATTGGTCGCGTCGCACGCCCGACCATTTCGTGGACTTCACCATCCGAAACGCCGGGTACGACGTCGATCACATCGCCGCTCATTTCCTCGGCCATACGGACGAGCTCGCCCGCATTGAAGAGGCCGCTGCTGCGCAAAATATCGGCCCCTTGGCTGTTTGCGACACCCTGCTCAATTTTTCCGCCAAGACGCTGTGTTGCCGTGAGTTCCCTTGCTCTCTTTTCTTTTGGTCGTCGTCGTTGAGCTTGCGTTCCTCAGCCGTCGACCACCGCCTGAACGGCCATCTAACTCGTGTCGAACTATGCCACATCGAGTGCGCAGTCAAGTTTCGCATCTGGGTACCGGTAAATCTCCAAGCCTGCCCCTTCGTCCTCGTTACCTCCAAGGGGACGCACCAACACCCCGTCCCCCTTCCCGAAAAAACTCCGCAGGGGGCGCGCATCCAAATCTTCCGCCTGCTGCGCACGCTCCGCCAGGATCTAGCGGACTTGACGGCTCGCCGCTTCCTCAGGCATCCCGCCCTCAAGACCTTCCTGATGAACAAGTTCCCCGGCGTCGCCGTGCCCACCCTGACGGCTCTTCACCCCTCTCTCGCCAACCGCGCACACCTCGGGTCGTACATCGCGCGCGCGCGATTGGAACAGTTCCCAGTAGGGACAGATTGGCGTGGTATGTTTCCCGATCTCTTTCCCTCGCTCGCGCTTCACTGACAGACACTGCCGTGCCGTAGGTATCAAGCACCTCAAGCACCTGCAAGACACCACGCTTCCGGCCCACCAGCACTATATCCGACTCGTCCTCGAGATCGAGGACAACGATCTCACTCACCACGACGAGGACGACGACGCGCCCACCAGTGAGAAGACCACGCGGATTATAATATGCATGGCTCCCGATTCCAGCAAGCGCCTCGCCAGGGCGCAATATCTGCAAAGCGATATCGGATTCAAACGCATCGTGGGATTTGACGAGTTTGAGATCGCGTCCATGGACCGCGACGCCAACACCAGTGAGTTCTCTTCCATCCCAGTCCTTCTCCTCGCTTAACCTCGTTGTACAGGTCTGGTTTTCTGCCGTGTATACCTCACCCGACACACCGCCGCCGCCCACCAGGTCATATTCAACGAGATCAACAAAATCGTGCAGCAAGACACGGGGAGGCCGCTATATTGGCGTCACCTCCACGGCACCTCCGTCGACGATTTCAGGGTTGGGCTGATACTCCACTGGGGGGCTGACCAACACCGCGGACAAGCCAAAGGTACGCACACGGTCACCCGCTTTCCCTGGAGCTAACAGGCCGCAGGACTCGGGCTGCATCTTGTGGATCGAGCGGCGCAGCTCTCCGCCGATGCCATGGACATGCACGAGCCCCACCGCAGCCTGCGTTCGCTCACTCCATACGAGCACCTTCGCCGCGTGTACCGCCTCTGCGTGGTGCACAATTACCGCAACATCCAGCAATGCGCGGTCCCTGAGCACGTCCGACACCTAATGCGTTCGCTCGCGTGCGTCCAGCACCCCGACTGGGATGGGACCATCTCCAAGATCCTTCGCGACGGCGGCAAACCAGCCTTAGGTTCGTCCACGCTCACTGGACGCCTCTTTCTGCTCACTTCTCTCCCAGATTGGGTACGAGACAAAGAAAGCTGCAAGTTCGCGTTCGCAGGCATCTGCTGGGAACGCAGCTTCATCCCACTCGAGGTCTGGTCCGCCGGGGAACCCAACACGAACCTCATCGAGACGGTACATCGCGACGTCAACCGAGAGGGCGTCCATTGCACCCTCGTCGGCGGTGTGCTGCGCGGGCAAGATTACGATGAGCTGCAGCGTTCAGCCCTCCTTGTGCGTGACCACCACGCCGACGCGCTTTCCTTCAGCTCACCGCGTCGTCGCAGGAGTACGAGCAGCACGGGATCAAACCCTCGTATCGCGCCGTCAACCCCGTCACCAACGCAGTCAAGAATGTTAAAAGACGAGGTTGGTCCATCCCTTCTCGTATTCCAACGTCTCCAATGTTAACCTCCCCACAGGCATAACCCAAGCCAAGCGCGTTCATACCTCGGCGCTGGCTATCTCGACTCACAACGCCGCCATGAGCAAGTATCACCAAAGACTCGGTGATGCTATGCAGCGGCTCGACCGTCTCAACGTGCTCGTAGGCGGCCCGCTGCTCCCGACACCCCAAGCCCAGGCGGAGCTCAAGCGCCAAATCGCGTCGGCCACCGTGGACTGCCGACAGGCGACCATCAAGTACGATCAGCAAGTACTCGTTGGCCAGCAGTTGCGCCAAGCAGGCAACACAGGGGTTTCCCTCCCCTCCTCGTAGCATTCATGTACCGCCCGGTCTGAAAATACGCTGAAAATACGCGTTCAATGTCACCATGTCCGTACGACGCCCTCGGCGGCGCGTTGGCGCGTTCCCGCCCGTCCCACACTCCACGTGTTCGGCTCTTGCCAGACAGGTGATCCCCGTCGTTGTCGCTTCTCTCCACGTGTCGGTTCTCCCCACGTTCCTCCCCTGCCCTTCTCCTCCATCTCCTCGACTCCTCTTCTCGCATTTCTGCCTCCCTCGCAATTCCCCTCGCCGCTCTCACCTGGGATTCATTGTCCCTGCGCATCCCGTCCATCCTTGCCTTTGCTGCTGCTCTTCTCCGTCGCTCCACCTGCCTCGCTCACGTCCAGTGGCGTACATGTCGCCAACTTCGATTTCCGCCCTCTTCCGCCCAGCAACAAAGGTCGCCGCGCAGTTCTGATTCAGGGCCCACGCCTCGTGCATGCAGCTTCCCATATTCTTGCTCCTGGGCCAGGCCATCCGATCTCCGCCGTGGCTCGAACCGAATCGCATAAATATCGTGCGTCTTTAACTTCGCCACCATTCGTTCCTCGCTCAACATGTCTCAGTATCAGTATTTCTCTCCCCCCCCTTCTGCCATCAGTCCCGCCGCGACCGCCCCTACACCTGCCGCCGCGCCCGCCCCTACACCTGCCGCCGCGCCCGCCGCGACACCCGCCGCCACGCCCGCCCAGGCAACTACCCCCACAAACCCGGTCATGTCGTGGGCTCCCGCCAACGCAGTTCCTTCGACCCCGGCTCACCACTGCGCGGCCAACCGCTGCACGATCTGCGACGCGCAGTACCTCTGCGTCTTGAACCAGGCCAACGGCTTGAACGGACCGCAGACTGGGCCTCTCCCTCACCGCCGCACTTGCGAACCCATCTACCGGCCCGCCGACCCCAGCATCGACGTGCAAACTCACTCCCTCCAGGCCGGGAAATCCTTCTACGTCGCCATCCCCGCTTATGACGAGGGTATCTACACCGACTCGTGCGTATCTCCATTTTTATTTTTATTTTTCTGCGCTAACTCACCTTCGTAGTCTGGCGGCGCGCGCCGTTTCGGAGGGGGTCCAGAACGGGAAACACACGGCCGTCAAGACTTGGGAGGAAGCGAAGGGCCTTTGGGCTCTGGGATGCCTGCGTTGGCACGGGAACGAGTGCCGCCGGGAGCGTCTTCAGCGCGCCGACGCCCGTGCGATCCACTGGGCGGTCGCCGGGACCTCAATCATCTGCGGCTCCAGGTAAGTATCCGCTTCCTCCTACCTCTCCGTGTCTCAATCCTCTCCAGGGCCGCCGCCTTCCGCCTCGCTCAAGACAGCGGCTCCCTCGACATCCGCATCCGCGGCCACCGCGACCCCGCCGTCCTGCGCGACTGGCTCGACAACGGCAGCTCCGAGTCGGACGACTAAATGGCGTGCGCGTCGGGGCGGGTGGGCGGCGCAATCTCTTGTTTAGTATACGTTGTACCTGTGATATGGGGTTGTCTATTTTATTGGTCGTTTTTTTTTGAAACTTGTCTTTTTGTTTTGAGTTTTTTTTTATGCCAGTTGATCCAAAATGAGACGAACAGGACCGGCTACTACCTATCACCCAAATAAGACCTTCTGGCGCAACGGTAGCGCGTCCCTAGAAATTGTGTCCTCCTGACCCTTTTCAGGGGAGGGCGTCGGTTCGACTCCGGCAAGGGTCATCTGCCTCATCGTTGGATTTTTTTGCTCTAATAAGACCTTCTGGCGCAATGGTAGCGCGTCCCTAGAATTTGGATCCTGCTGATCATCATTCAGGGGACGATGCCGGTTCGACTCCGGCAGGGGTCGTCTGCCTCATCGTTCGATTTTTTTTGCCTTGTAGATTTTAAATTTCGGGTTGGGTTTCAGTGTTTTGTGGTATGGACGCGTTCATCACGGAAAAGGCTCTGTACTTTTCTCACAATTCCTCCTTTCACATTGCGGACTTGCAAGGCTGAAGTCCTAAATAGATTAGATTTTTTTTGTGTCTGTACACAGCAGCTATAGATGGTGTATATTAAATACGCGCGACGGGCGCGATTGGACCGTAGTACGCGAAAAGACCTGGATAGGTAAGTAATTGGAAGGAGGAAATACAAAGAAGGTAGCATACCTCTATAGCAATCGAAGAGAGCCAGGAAGGAGACATCCGCTGGGAGTGAGTGAGAAGGGAGCGGAGGCGGGGGAATGCCAACTGAGTGCGGTCTTCATTCAGTCCACCCCGCGCTCGCTCCTTCTAACACGGCGCTCGTCGTCCTCGACTCCACGGCGGTCCTCGTCAACTCACGGCGCACTTTCTCCGCACCTGCTCGTCGCCGTCCGCGCGTCATCCACGGCGCTGTCTCGTCGTCCACAGATTGTCGTCCACGACGCTGTCCCGTCGTGTTCCTGCGCACTTCCTTCTTGTTGTCGCGGCCCGAACGTCGTCTCCGGCGCTTTTGCGTATCTTACACGGCGGTCGTCGTGTTCGGCGCTTGTCCACTCTCCTGTTGTCCGCGCTCGATCTCGCGCTCGTCGTCGCCTGGCTGCTCGTCGTCGCCGTCCGCGCGCCATCCACGGCGCTGTCTCGTTGTCCACAGCTTGTCGTCCACGACGCTGTCCCGTCGTGCTCCTGCGCACTTCCTTCTTGTCGCGGCCCGAACGTCGTCTCCGGCGCTTTTGCGTTTCTTACACGGCGGTCGTCGTGTTCGGCGCGCTTGTCCACTCTCCTGTTGTCCGCGCTCGATCTCGCGCTCGTCGTCGCCTGGCTGCTCCTTTTCGACACCGCCCGTCCCGAATCGTCCTTCTCTCTCGCCTTCGCCCGCGCTCCGCTCTTTCGCCTTCGCGCGCGCTCCGCTCTTGTTTGTCTGTTCGGCACCTCTTCGTCCACTTCGTTCGCATGACGAGCAGCCGCCGACTCCGCTTGGCGCCCTTCTTCGCCGCACGCAGCGCCGCCGGCCCCCAACCCGCATTCGGGTCGCTCGCTCATCTGTGAGTTGGTTGCGGCCTGCGCTGGGTCAGTGCTTACTCTTTCAGGACGAATCCGTACAACGACGCACCTGGCCTTGTGTATTTCATGCGACGCGACAACCGAGCGATTCGCCGCGCCTACAAGAAAAAAATTATTTCGAGATCAGCGTACCTCGCGGCGAGGGAAGTCAAGGCCGGCCATTCGAAGAACTTTGTGCGCCGTCGGCGCGCGTATCGCAAGTGCGAGAAGGAGTGGTGTTTGACCTGGAAATTTTCAATCCAGACCCCGACGCGCATGTTAATCGGTGAGTTCTCTGAATCTGCCTACCGTTCCCCTTTGGACGCGCGCTGCAGAGGCGTTGATACACGAGGACCTTCGCCAGCATAGGGCGGCCCGCGTGCGCTGCTCGTGCGTAGTTTGCCACTTGGAATTTTATCGTGCACATGGCGTCGGCGGAGTGCGTGGTCTTGTGGACAAAGGAATCGAATGGATGGATCTTCTGGGTCAAGTCTCTGTAGTTCAGTCAATTCCTTAGCACATTCTAGCCTTTACTTCTTTCCATGTAGCGTTCCCACATTTGTAGTTCCATTCAAGGATGCGCATTTGCGCTTTGATAATTTGTGCGCCGATACATGAGGTTTACATTATCTGCCAGGTCGGAGATCAGGATCCAAAAGGTACCTGGAGCAAATCCACTCACTACGAATTCACTGCGACTTTTGAAGAGTTCGTCTTTCCCTAGTTTTCGTGCATTGCTTCGTCCTTGGTCTCTGCGTTGATCTGAGCGACAACGTTATCTTCCTGGGTGCTGTTCGTTCCTGCTACAGAGTTTACCGGACAGTCTTCTCCTGGCCGGCGGCGCTCACCGCTTTTACCCTTCGCTTTACCCTTTCCGCGCGGTTTGCGACCTTTAGCATGGCCGGAAGCCTGTTTCGTCGATTTAAGAGGTGGGAAGAGGGGGTCCAAAATCTTCCGCGCACAGGAGAATTTGCCAAGCCAGGGAGCCCGAGTTCTTCTTCAGCGTTGCGCAGCTCGTCGAGAAATCTTTCGTGTTCATCTTGACCGTCCAGTGGCATTGGAAGGTTTTGCGGAGAGCGTGGAGTAACCGGCATTGGCAAGTTTTGCGGAAAGCGGGGAGTAAACGGAGAATCGTCGCGCTCGAGCTTCAGGGTGAGGCTGGGCGGTTTGCCTTGCGAGGACATCGTCGTAGACGACAAGAGTGGTGATGGGATCACATCACCCAGGACAGCCACATCTCGACTTGCCACCGCCCACATCGTGGTCGGAGAGTTGGCCACGGCGCGTGCGGCGAACCTTACCACAGGCCCACGTTTCGCGCTGTGGGCGACGAACCTGAGGGCGATTTTCCCCGGCGCTGCAGCCCGACTCGCAGGTGCGCCATTTTCTTTTTATCTTTTTTTATATCTTCGTTAAGTTAGCATAGATCCCTCTAGAAAAAAAAGAAGACCTTCTGGCCACGTCACCTTCCACCGCAGCACCTACAACGCTTAATCCAGTACCACCACCACCACCACAATGTCGCGCGCCCCGACCCGTAACCTGCGAAGCGCCCCGACCCGTAACCTGCGAAGCGCCCCGACCCATAGCCTGCGCAACGGCGACAAACCCAGGGAGCCGCCCAAACAGAGAAGTCGCACCAAGAAGTCGCCCTGCAAGCTCGCAGGCGCCACCCGCAGCTCCAACAAAAACATCGCCAACGCAGTTGCTGGTCCCAGCACCGCGCCCACCTTGCAGTCTCAGGGGGAGGACACCAGCTGGCGCCACCCTTGGTGGTGGTGCATCAAAGGATGCCCCGGCATCGTATTTCTCACTCGCGATAGGTACGCCTACCTCCCTTTTTTTTTTGGCGCTCCTCCTAGTCGGCCTGACGCGCGGCTGGCAGGTACCGTGTTGAGAGCGTACTCAGTATGAATATTGGCGTGGTGTTCCGTGTCGATTTCGATGGGGCGGTCGCCAAAGCCCGCGAGCTTCTTGGGGTTAACCCAGACAAGCGCCTCGTGTATGCGCTGCAGGACGGGGGAGTTCAATCTGGCCAGTACGTTTCCGTGATGCGTACTTCGGCCCACGCTAATGTCTGTCGTTTGTTTGCAGGGACGCCGCGTACAAAGCTTACACGAAGAACGAGAAGAGGGGCACCCTGCTTTGCTGCGGGCGGGACCTCCGCACCGTCGAAACATATATGGAGCTGCTCGTCGCCCCCAAACTTTGACTGCTTCTCAGCGCTTTTCATAGTTCTTCGCTTGCTCGATACCTTTGCTTGCTCGATATGCGCCCCTTGCTCTCCTCGCGACTACGAAAACTGTAATACACTACCTCTTTGCTGCGCGTCGTGATGTGATGTACATATACTCTTACCAGAACCAGCAATAGCAATGAATATCTTTGTCGATGTAATATGCGCGGAAAAATAAGAGAGTTCGCTAACTCAGGCTAGAACAGAGCCAGTTAGGGAATCCCATTTCGCCAACTGGAGTCAGATCACACCTAGTTAGCGAATATCAAATTCTGATTGTCGCTAACTTGGGTCTCCGTCCGCGTCGCTCAAGCTGTCCTGGACGCTCGTGGGCTCTTTCCTATCAGCTGCCTCTGCCGAGTGCATTCACTATTCGTTGGACAGCTTGACGATTTTTTGGGGGAATTTACGCGCTCTTGTTGTCGACCCCAAAATGTCTCGATTCAGAGGATAAGCCAAGTAGGAACCCTGTTTGGAAACTGCGTATACTGCTCGAACATTATTGACCATTGGCCATTCTTTCCTCAGATTCTCATCTCAGTGGGCTCCAACATAAGTTATGCAAACATAGTTTTTATTATACAACGTGCGAATACAAACTTCAGCGCGGAGCGTATGTAGAATCAAAAAAGTAACAAATGCAAGAGAACCTCAGCGACACATACATCGATCTACGACAACCAACCAGGACCGGGCCCTGTCTTGCCCTCCGCTGCGCGCTGCGCCCGAATTTTTTCAAAGCGTCGGTCGCGCTTTTGGGCCTCCTTGGCGCGAGCGATCGGGTCGGTGTGCCGCTTCTTCTTCGTGGCTGCATGCTTGCGCGCTTTGTCCGCTTTGCGGCAGGCCTCCCGCTCGACCGCGGGCTTGGTCGCCCACTCGAGGTTGATAGGTTTGGTATGTTCGTTGCAGGTGGGGCCTGTGTACTTCATCAGCCGAAGTCTGCGGCCGAGGCTCACGCACTTACAGCGCAGGGTGCGTTTGCAGGACGGGTTCTTAGTTCTGTGCCATCGTTCCACACAGCCCTGCTCACGATGCGCATAAGCCGCCCGTTAGAGAAAAAAAACCGGAGATACGCACCTGGTGGAAGATTGTCTCGCGGCATCCGCAAGACAAAATCACCATCGCCCCGTCCTCCAAGCAGACCTGTGTAACTCGGTGGTTATGCCTTCCCTTGGCAGCTACAAGGGAGACGCACCGTGCACTCGAGTTGGCGAGCCCATTCGGGCTCCTGCCTGTCCTGCCTTGCGATTCTTTGCAAAAGTAGGACGCTCGTCTTCTTGGGGTACTCGAGCCTCGGCGGCTGCTTGAAGTAGGCGGTCATGGCCTTGTCGCCAGGTGGAGCGATGTCGCCGATTGTAAAAATAACGACGTACGATATCCCTGTCCTTGGTCATTTTTTGACCTTCTTGGAATGGGGGTTGAACGAGGTTGAAGCGGTTCAGGTACGCTACATGGCCCTGCGTTCCCGGCGACTGTTCCCGGCCGGCGCTGTCGAGCACTTGTAGATCGGGCGTGTCATCCTCGTCACTGTCTATGTTGGACTGGTCCTGGATGAGCGCGGTAACAGCGGGGAGGCACACTGAGCGATACCATGGCGAAACGCTG